CCCGCCGCGGGTCCTCCCCCCTCGGGTTTGCCCCCCTCCCCGGGGGGGGGAGTTGTGGCTGATTCCAGTATGTGTGTGTGTATATATATATAGATATATAATCTCTATACTCCCCGCTGTCGGTGTGGCTCCCCGTCGGTGGCCGGAGGCAGGCGCTGGGGGGGGGTCCTGGCCCCCGGCTACTTCATGCCGCTGCGCAGCACCTGGTTGGCGGCGATGAGCATCACGCTGATGATGAAGGCGATGGCGAAGGCGCAGATGAGGCTCTTCCTCACGCAGGTCTGCCGGATCTGCTGGCTGGAGCAGGCTGGGGGGAGAACCAGGGTGGGGTTAACCCCACGTCCCGTCCCCCCGCCCCGCCATGCCCTGGGGTACCCGCTGCCATCCCTGTGGTGTCGGGGCTGGGGAGGGAGGGGTGTGTTTGGCCCCCCCGCCGCCTGGCACTCACTCTCCACGTCGACAGGGCACTCCTCGGCCGTGCCCATGTGGCTCTCCTCCTCCGTCATGATGATGTTCTCGATGTCCTTCATGGAGAGGTGCTCGCAGAAGGTGTCGTACAGCAGCCGCTTCAGCTCGTCCACCGTCAGCTTCTGCATGTCACACTGCGGGGGGGGGCGGGCAGGGGGCTGACCCCACGGGCAGGGGGACACGGTGGTGCTGTGGGGTCCCCCTGGCACCCTTGGGTGTTGCGCTTGGGATGGATCTCCCCCCATTTGTGATGGGGAAAGGTCTGGTGTCCTGCTGGCACCCTGGCAGAGGGGGCTGGTGGCTCCCAAGAAGGACACCCAGTGGGTGCCCACCATCACACCGACTGCCACCCCGTGCCACGGCAGGGACAGAAAAGCCTCAGGCTGGTGTCACCCTGACCCTGTGACCAACCCTGATGTGACACTAAGCCTGACCTTTCCCCTAACCCTAACCTGGAGCCTGAGCCTGACCTTCACCCTCACCCTAATCCCAGCTCCAGCCTTGACCCTAATCCTGACCCCGACCTCAACACTAAACCTAAACCTGACCGTAACCATCATCCCAAACCTCACCTCGACCCCAACGCCAACCCCAGCTCTTGGTCACCTTACCCTGACCCTAACCTGGAGCCCGATCCTGACCTTCACCCTCACCCCAACTCCAGCCCTGACCCTAATCCTACCCCTGAGCCCGACCTGACCCACACCCTGACCTTGACCCCAACCCTGACCTTGAGCCATCCCCTGCTGCTCTCAGGGAAGCTGCCCCGGAGGTGCTGTCCCCGGACGGGAGGTGGGGGTCCCCTACCTTCCAGAAGACAGTGTCAAAGTCTGTGCCGTGGAACTTCTCCGGGATGCCCGAGGTGGACAGCTTGGGCCCCAGTAACGTCACGAACTCCTCAAAGTCCACCTGCCCATCACCTGTGGGACACAGAGGCTGCTGTCACCCCCTGCCCGGGCACGGAAATGTGTGTGACACCCCCCATCCCCCCAAAGGGTCCCCATGGGGCTGCCTGGGGGTGGGGACACCGCGCCTGGACTCGGTGATGCTGTTACCCACCCCTGTGCAGCTGCAGGTGGGACCACAAGCCTCAGTGGTTTTTTGGGGGGGGACCTCCCCCGCTGGGCTTGGCACTGCTTGGGGACACCCTGCTCTGGGATCACCTGGGGGGACCCTGCTCCTGGACATGGCACTTTGGGGGCTCAGGCAGCACCCAGAGACCCCCCCCATCCCACCCAGGAGTCACTAATACCCACCCGCAATGGCACAGAGCAGCAGCCTGGCATTACGGGACCTTGGCCTTCACCAGCCAGGGACCCCCCAAACTGGCAGGGGACCCCCAGCACCAGCCAGGACCCCATGGCTGGTCAGGCACCTCCAGCCTGAAGGGACTCCAACAGTTGGAGTTGGGGACTCCAACACCAGCTGGGGAGCTCCAGCAAAGTCAGGGGGTCCCCCCAACATTGGCCAGGATGCCCAACGCTGGCTGGGGTGCCCAGTGCCATCTGGGGACCCCCAGTGTTGACTTCCCCCCCCTCTCCCCCCAGTGCTGGCTGTGGG